TATGTTTCCTGTAGTTTTTATTTGTCTATTTTTTTATTCTAAATAGAATTAGTTATGTTTTAGTATTGTTAATTTAGCAAGCTAACAAAGCAAATTACAATAACAGAACTATCTAATAATTTGAAAAAGTAGACTATACTTAAATATACAAATATATTTTTATCAGGTACCAAAGAAATAAAACAGGGTAGTAATCTTGTGTTTTGCCTAAAGAAAATTAGGACTTAATGTTTCTACATGCAATTTTTGTTTGGGTGCACTAGTGCCTACTCAAAGCTTGCCGAAACAGGCTTGTTCAACAGTATGAAATCTCTTTTATAGAAGAGAACTACAGCAATTTCTTATTTTGGATAGCATACTAGGAGAAAGTGGTAAAAAAAAAAGAGAATTAGTATTCCACGCAGATTTCTAATGGTGGTGTTCAAACACACCTTAGCAGTGGTATGTACATTATAGCCAAGACTTCAGCAATCTTAAAAACATAGGCAAACTGTAACACATATACACACAAATTCCCAGAAAGCCTCAATATCTTGGAGCAATTCCTGACGTAATGTGGGGGTAATCCAGAGTGACACTTGTGATGTCACTTTCTTTGGGCTACTGGCTGGGTAGTTAATGGCGATTAGAAGCTATGCAGAGGTTCTGATTGGTGTGAGAGGACAAAGTGACAAACTGTATAAACGTGTATGTGTGCATTTGTGGCACCTTTATGTGTAATTTGCAAAGACCAGACACTGACCATATCAGCGCATTCTTTTCAAGATTTTCAGAAACATAACTTGGATGACAGGGATCACGCATGTGCATACTTTCAAGCATCCCCTCATTCAACCTCTTTGGCCTTAAAACACATTTAATGAACTAATCATCCATGAATGTCTACATATCAGACCGTGACCCAACAGTTAAGCCCGGCGCCGGGCCATCCATGTGCCGGACAGAGTTGGCCCATTCATCCATGGAGAAGGTGGACCCGAGCCACTAGGCGCAAGCCAGACACAATGGGCAAGATGACGGATTTTGAGATGATATCTATTACTGCTAGTGACAGCAGTCCCAGAAAGCGAGCTTTGATGTTTCCAGACACTGACAAGCCATGCAGAGTGACACTGATGGCTGTGGGCACAAATCAGAATTGCTTTACCGCATCGGCTGCGCCCGGATGCAGCAACGCTTTCCTTAACCCTGGCGCCAAATCTGTGCCTGGTGCTGCCATCATATGAACACGATAGTGAGAAGGAGTTACTAAAACTGGTAGCTTGATAGAACAAACAAAGTGAAAACATGTCTAATATTATTATTTAAGGACAGATACAAAGACAAAGTGAAAAATTGGTTTGATTTTCTCTTTTCCTTGCAATTTTTCATGTTCTTTGCTTTTCATTTTCTGTTTGACTGGCAGAATAGACGAAATGTTTATTTATTTTAAAACATAACATTATCTAAGTAAATATGTGACCCTGCCTATGAAAACCCAGCTAAAGTGATTTTTTGGTGAATCTCAACTTAATGTATAAAACCATTCTTAACATTGTGTAGAATGGTTTTATACATTAAGTTGAGATTCACCAAAAAATGACTTTAGCTGGGTTTTCATAGGCAGGGTCACATATAATGATAAAAATACCTTTCTTATGTTGAAATTATTAATCCGCTCTTTGAATTATAGGTGCCAGTATGAGGCAGTGAATTGAGTTTTGGAATAGATACAACTTACATGTATACAAAATTTATTTATTTTTTTTATTTGTATTGACTATAATGACAGCAATGACATTGGCTGATTTCAAATTGTAGACCTAACTCGTATTACTTTTTCCTATTCATTCACCATCCATGGTTATATACAGTATGAACACTATCCAAGAGTAAGAAAGACACTATCGACTATTGTGACTAATCTGGACAGCCTTTAGCTTTATGGGCGTCATTATACATTGAACATGAATGATGCTTCTCAAATAAGAACTACAGGGCACTGGAAAATAACTTCAAAAAATAATTCTTATACAAATGTAAGAAATGACTGAAGATTAAGTGCATAAAGAGAGGATCTGGATAATCTGAAGATGGAAAATAAAGGTGCAAGATTACAGTAGTACTTGGTGGTCATTTTGACCAAACTTTCAAACGGCAATACAGGATGGGATAATGGTATGTGACAGATTACAGATACATAAAATCTGTACATAACACCTGTGGTTGTTGGAATGCATTTAGACACTTCAGGTTTAGAGCGAGCTGGACAGGGACTGGAATGGGGTATTTCACACCCCTGTTCTCTCCTCTCAGCCTGTGATTGAGGCTGGGCACTTGGGTCTGGCTCTCTGGCCTTTCGATCCCATCCTATGGCTTCTGTGTTTTGTCAATCTGCTGAGATGGGGGATGGCAGTTCCCGGCATTGGGTGGGGATCTGGGACATTTGAGGGTTTTGCCCCATCCTTGCGGGGGAGCCAGCTGGCTTGGGTGGGTATACAGCAGGGCTGTACAGCAAGTTGGATACAATCATGGTGCCCAGATTCTCCTGCGCATGTGGCGTGGATCAAACCTGCAGTCAGCTGGGAGGATACTGGGGAGTGTCTGGCTCGGGTGACTGGCAATCCATACTTGGCCTAAGGGTGGTGGAATACCTGGGTGGAGATTGCCTGGCAGTAATGGGTATGAGCTGACCATATCATTGTGGGGGCCGAAATGGTTGGCTGGGGGCAGGGTGGGCTTTTCAGTAGGTTGGCTACCTGCTCTTGCGTCAGTGGGGGTGGTTTATGGGGGGATGCCGTGGAGGTATCCCTCCTCGGGGTCCGTCTGGGGTGGTGTTTGGGGCTGCACCTGGGCTATACTGATGGTCTCCCATTTTTGGTGGTGCTCGATCCCAGCCCCCTGATCCCAGCCTCAGCTCAAGCTGCCAAAATCCCTTCCCACACCAGGGGGTCTGGAATTAACCTAGGTTTCTGGGCTTGTTCACCCAAGGGAGATTTCCCCCTAGACCCCGGAGAATAGTATATGTATGAGGAGTCTAAGAAAATATTTTGTGTTGGAATGAGAATGTGTGAATGTAGCTGGATTTTTCTTTGTCTACTTTGTTTGCGTTCCCCCACCTACTAGAACATTGTAAACCCCAACTATGAGCAGACCCTATCTCCTCCCCTTGGTACCTCTTTCATGTGGCCGGCTAATGATTCTCTAGGTACGGGGTTGAATGCTTTGTCGGGTGCTGTCTTATTCCTGGTGGCTCCTGGGCCGAGCGTAGAACTCCTTACCATTTGTGGTCCCCACTAGGGGGATGTGCGCTCCCTGACCACGGACCCCTGTACCCTTATCCAGGTCCATCCAAGGTGTGACTGGCAGAGCTCATGAGCTAGCTGCAGAGGACCAGTGGGACTTAGGCACTATGGCCTATGGTTTTAGGCCCCTCAGGGACTGGGCCCTTTTGCGAATTGGACCCTCAGTGGACAGGTTCTCTACTCCGCCCTTCTCTGGTGGGTGTGGCCATCCCTATGTCTGCCCTCCTTGTGTCGCAGTGATCAGGAGTGCCTCTGGATATCTAGGGTCATCGGTCCTGGGCCCTTTAGGCCAAATCTGGTTGTAAGCCTAGTCTGGTTCCAGTTGTTCATGGATACACGCTAAGACTGGGCTACAGATATACACCTCCCTGAATAATATTCTGTAATAACCATAGGTTTTGCCTTCCATACATATTAATATCTAAGGGATACCCACTGCTCTTGTAGCTTTTTCTTAATTTTCACTCTGGCTGTCTACTGTTTCCTTTTTTGCTCTTGTTATGTTCTCTGTTTTCTTTTCCTCTCGTCTCATACAAGTTTTGAAGCAGACTTCTAAGATTTACCTGTATATCTTCTCTGTTTTTTAGTTTTTTAGTTTTGCTGTTTTTATTTTTATTTTCTCCCTTTTGCTCTCTTTCCTGTCTCTATCTCTTTCTCTCTCCCCTAAGTTAGTATAACCTCTTTCTTTCATAAAAATATCCATAATAAAAAAATCAAATATATATTAAGTTGAATAAATGTATTTTCATATGTTTTTAACATTGTTGAATAATTGTAGTCATCAATTTCTGTTTTTTGCTTTTTATTTTTTAGTAGGTTTGAGTGTTTTTTAAGTTTTTCTATTTCAATACTTATAATACTGTTATTTTACTGTAATGTTTGCAGTGTGAACCCAAAGAATAATACTTTGAAATACAACGTTTAACAAAAAGCAACATTTGTGAATGGTGTTGTACGGGTCACAGCAGACTGAAATCCAGTTTTATATCCTTCCCAGTTTGTTTCTGTACATTTGTGTTTCCATTGCTACATGTAGGATCTGACGATCTGTAGATGGTGCAATTAAAATTACTGCAGTGCAGAAAAGGAAATGAGACAAGCTTTTCGCATAAGCTTCTTTAAATATATAATGGCTAGCCACTGACTGCTGGTTGATCAATAAATATAAGACATATATCAGTGGTTCAGTTATCCAGTGTCAACATTTAATATATTTTTTAAGTCAGAACAACTTTGTCCCAGCTTGTAGCTGAGTGTCTATTAGTTATCATTCCTTGCTCTGGCTGCCACAGCAAACCCTGTTTACCAAATGCCTGAGAACTGGAGAGACTTCACCTAAGCATTGTACATGTTATCATTGTGTATTTAAAAAAAAATTGTCTAATTGGACAGAGGGGATCTCTGGTTTCCCCGGTACTGAAGGAAGAACTGCAGTTAGCCTAAGCAGCATTTTATAAAGGATGGGAGAGTCACTGCTGCCATTTAGTCACACTGAAAACTCCATTAATATTTATTTTTTATTGAATCCACAATTTATCATAGAATATACAGAAAATTAAGCATTTCAAAATCAACATAAAGCAACAATAGTTAAGTTCTGAATCTTTGTCCTTGGAATGAAGACATAAAGAAGTAACAAACATCTGTTGCAAGAATCCTCTCTGCTTCTCTGCATATCAGCAGCTTAGTTGATAAGAAATAAGTTTATTTGTGGGATTTTTTTTTTTTTTTTGTTAGAATAAAACCTAGTTTTTAAACAAGGTAATATAGAGCCCATTGCCTTGGCTAGTGCAGATATCCATATACTTGCATAGCTAGACAAAGATAAGTATGGAAAAGACTAATTCCTGATGCCAAAATTGTATGTATTGGTATTCATGTGCATAAAACTGTGTGTGGGTGTGTGTGTTCAACACACTGCTTAACATCTGAGCACCAGCATGCAGCTTTACAGAGGGAAAAGGGAGAGGTAGTGGTGCCTGCTCAGCTGAAAGGCCTCTGGCCACCATGCCAGCACAATCTCTTCAAGACGCTGGGACCCCCATTGCTCGCACATCTCCTTTTCCTTCTCTCCCTCTCGCCTTTCCCCCAACCCGCGTTTATTTCTGTCAGCTTCCATATTCTTGTCTTCACTGCTTGTTTGCCCATACTCCCAAGACATTTTTAGTCCGTGCAGACGAAGCGCTGCAGTCAACAGTGGGGACCCCTGGTGGGATGTTAAACAGGCACACCAGCTTCTGCAGGCAGGCACTCTGGTTGTACAAGGGGCCCGAGGCCAGGTTGGAGTCAGCCATTCCTCTTATCGTTCTCCTCCACAGGGATGATCACTATCCCTCTTTCGGCCCCAGTTTGACACCGCCTGTCCTGTGAGATGTACCAACACAGGCACCCAGCTCTTCCCCTGCAGTCGTACGGCCTCCATATGCACACATCACTACAATGAGTGTCCTTTGGTGAAGGCCCCAGCTTTCCCGATTTTAGAGATATTATCTGAAAAGATTGTTGCCTGTGGATAGTAGTAAAAGGTCAGAGAAGCATTCACTGATCATGACCATGATAAATACAATGCAAGCTGCAAGTACATATTGTCCGCTGAGAGCTGAACTGTGATAAAACACACATAGTAAAGTGTATTTTACCTTATTTGGTGCGTAAATATTTGAACAGATCTTCAACAAGAACTATTTGAATGTGACATATAAAACATATTTCATATAATGTGCTCAGTATGTACAATTGTGTCCTTGGACAACACAACAGGAAAGTAGGAACAGGAAAATATATAGTTAAAATTTTTATTTACTGTTAAAACAATGTATTTATTAGGACCACTTTGCAGCTTCTAAGAAAGCTGTTTGAATTTTGAAACAAATATTTTTTACTATGCTTTATCATTTCTTCTGGCTGATTAGAAAAAACATTATAGTTAATTTTTCCAGATGTTCCAGTGCAGACAATAAAGGGAGGGATATATGCCATGTTGTAATATCAAATAAACTAGTATTGTTTATTCAAAGAACAGTCATATTTAAATATCCAATCAATATTTTAAGAATAATGTTTCCATGTTGAAATTATGGGTCACATACATGCTCTGTTAATTAAAGAAAACTATTATTCAGCACAATCATCAACCCAAAAGTCAAATAAATAGGAGGCAGATGAATCACATGGGAGTAAGCAGATGGAAATTGAAAGGTTTTAACAACAGGAAAGAGCAAAGGTGGATTACATTTCTGGACAAGAAATAATAAAAATGAAAAAAAAAAAAGAGTAGAAATGGGCTAATGACTATGCTCGGGTCTGTATCTCTCTCTGTTTACAGTACATTGCTTGGATTCAATGCATCTGCCTCAGCATACTTTATGACTCATTTTTATCGTTGCAGCTTCATTAGGCTTCAGTCACTGATGAACGTGTTGGAGCCAGGATGGCCGTCCATCTGCCCTCTAATGAGATGAGCAGGAAGGAGGTATTCTGGAATTGATGGCTGTCATTCTTGTAGGTTTCCTCCTGCTCCAGCCTCTGTACATGAGTTAGGGGAGGAAAAGGTAATATATAATGGCATGAGAGTTTAATTTATGGATTTACAATACTGACCCTCAGTGTACCCTCATTAAGGAGAAAAGTTAATATTTGTCAGTACATGTCTAGAAACAATGGTTCAGATTGCCTAGGATTTATTCATTTTTATTTTTTTAGAGGGGAATTATAATTATATATTTAGTGCATGTAACATCTTCCAAAATTTATCAATGCTTCTGATGCTTTGGTTCCTTCTGATTGATACTATTTAAGAGGGGAGCTAATAGAAATTACCTTCCATATAATGCAGTTAAAACTGACAAAGTGATCATCAACAGAGATATCAGCTAGAGAAGATTTAGAATGCATTTAAAAATAATTTTGGTTTGATTGTTTGAATTTTGGTGCAGAGTAAATACATTTAGAAATTCTAGTTTTATGAAAGCATTTTCTCTTTGAGTATAAGGTATTTTCCTTCATTAAATAAATAAATGTATTTGTCAAAATTGTGTTGTTATAACTAAAACTTACCTAAGTAAGAAAGAAATTTGGCACTTTAGGTTTTAGGATATATATATTTTTTCAAGCTTTCTCCTAAACTCAAAGAGTATCAAAGCATTTTGAACCAAAAAGATAAATAAACATATTGCTTTACTTTGAGAGACAGTTAAAATGTACACAATTACAAGCAACAGATAATGCCCTTTTCATTCTGGGGACTAGGCTTCCTGGGTAGCATTAGAAACTGAAAAGTATTCAGGTGACAACTTTTTTATTACGTTGTATGGACCAAATGTGGACCTCCATAGCTGTCCGACAGCCAGCGTTTTCTGGCAGGTCATAAAAGATAATTGCATTGCCTGGGCTTTTTAAGGTTTAGCCAACGAGTCCTCCAGGGTGGGCTAGGAGACTTAAATGTGTACTTACAATCACTTTGAGAATGTATGTAACCGCTGAGATGAGAGCAGATAAGACATCAAATATTTATGCAAGTAAGAAACGTAAAATCAAAAAGAAACCAGAAATGCATGCAAGCTCTGGAATCCTCCACAGGTTGTGATGACAAAAAGTAAAAATTCATGTTAGAAAGTGTCAAACGGCTTACCTGGGATTACACCTCTGTGCATGTGTTTCTTCGCATGTGGGTGTGGGAAGACCCAGACTCAGCAATCTACAGGGAGTTGTTGCCCTGTGGCCTTAAAGTCCTGCTACAACTTCATTAGGTGTAGGTAATGGTACTGAAGTCCAGGAGCTCATAATGTAAAACCAGAGGCCCATCAGATGCCCATCAGCCCCCCCACCATGAATATTGCTCTGGAATGCGAGTGCCAAAATGTTAGTTGCATGGAGAGGATTCGTGACATTGTTGTGGAAATTGAAAGCATAATGAAATTTTGAGCAACAACACAAATAAATAAGTGGAATAATTCTTACTAGACACATATAGCTTTACAGGGCAAGACTTGTATGTGTCTGAATAAAGACTTGGACCAAATATATACAGATAAAAATAATTGATTCGAAACTCTTGACAATCCATACAATTCACACCACTGATGTAATAAACATGGTCCAAACACGCCTAATATCTGCTGACATGCTGACTGGAGCTTCTCTTTTGTTGAAAAAATGAAAAAAATTGCTGCTTCCTCAAAAATAATATATTAAATTGAGGGTTCAAAGCAACATAATCTAAAACATTGCACTATGAGGTGTAACAATCGATTCCAAATTGTAAAGATTAAATTGCCTTATCTCATTGTCCATGAGATCAGTTGTTTTGAAGGTATTCACTCATGCTTGGCAGTCAGCCAGTTGAAAACAGAGAGGGGTTTTTTAGAGCTGGAATCTATATAGTTACAGGGTTGGATATGCTACAGTAAGTAGTAGGGGTAGAAGGAACATACACCTCACAAGAGTACAGTTATGAATTTTTTGGCAGATGTCAATTTAAGCCTTTTAATTGGCAAATGTTTAGCCACATTCTTCTCACAGGGTCCAGAAATCCCAGGACCCTGTGAGACACAGGTCATAAAATTACTTTATGACCTGTGTTTTTTGTTTTTGTTTGTTTCTTTAAAAGAGCATTCAAAATTAAAGCTAACCGAAACCGTTAGAAAGACTTTAAACATGAAATATTCTCACCATCTAGTTCTTTGATATGTTTTATACCTCCACTAAAAAGTTTGAAATCAAATCCAACGTATTTTTTCTATCTACCTTTGAGAATCATCAAATTCTCTTTTACAACTAGCAAAACTGGAATCTCAAATTAAAATACAGATTAAAATTTGTCACAATATTGTGTGCAATGTTACAACAGGCCCCTAACAAACAAATTAAAGACTAAGAAGCTTAGTTGAAAACATAAGAGATCATTTATTGCAAAGTAAACTCTGACACAGCTTGTACGTTATCAATGACTTGTCTTTCTGGTTTGATTTGAGATCACCGAAAGATATTTAATTTATTCGAATAATCAGTCTGGTCATAGACAGAAATGCACACTCATTGAGGCATACATCTAACTGCCATCTTTCACCCCTGTTTATTTATTTGTCTGAACTTGCCTGTCTTAATGTCGTTGGATTGTGGGTCAGAAAGGGGACCCTTAATTTAATCAGCATGCTCTCCTGTTGGATTGAGACTATCCCACAGATCTATGGTAATACACAGCCTGGGGTGGAGGACAATTCCATTAGTGGAGGACAGTGACTGGGGCCGATAGTACTGCAGATAGGACTCCACCTCCCTTTCTTGGTTCCCTTCAGATGACTGGCATTATAGCTCCTTCATCCCAAAGTTTTCAGAGAGCTATACACCACTGGAGCTACAAAAAAAAAAAATAAAGTATAACACTTCCAACAAACTCTTTATGGTCCTAACGATATTTTTTTAGCCATTTATTACAGAGCTGCACATTGAGTATTGTATTTTTATGACACTGGACCTTTAACATGTTGTTTCCCAAATTAACATTTGTACATATGTTGATTTGTAAAAAAACATGTTTCACAGTTTATGTCACATCCATGCAGTATAACTGGTGTTTATTAACTGGCTCTTGTTTAGTATAGTGTATATATAGTGGAATGAAGGTTGAACAAGTTTAAGTGCTAAAAAATTATAATGACCTATGCTAATTTTCCTGTGGTTTTACCAACTACAATCTTTTTCTGATATCCAAAAAGCCACTCTTGATAAATATTCAAAGCTTTATGAGTAGCCCTGTAATCAGAATCCAGGTCAATTTGCCATCAGCTGTTTCAAGCTTCGATAATTCAGATTTCAGGTGATCTTGTGTGTCTAGAGAGAGCAGTTTTTACACTAGTGCCTCATTCTAGACAAATGTAGGTATTTCAATATTTTGACCGGAATCTCAAACCAATAAAACCAATAAACCAATATTGGTTTGAAAATATTCATACTTATGAAGTAAGAGTCCAATGCATGGATCCAGTTTATTTCCTATTCAAAAACATTCTCAAGACATAGATTTAGTTTACATTTTTTAGTCAACCTTAACAAATTTGGGCCAAGCGAGTCAGTCAGATTTGGCCATGCTCTGGTAAAGCTTGTGATGAAAGCTCACCACTCTTGTTTTTATTGTCCACTCTTCACCAGGCGGAGTGTTGTGGGAACTCTGGAGACTTGTGTGGCTGCTGTTTGATCACACTATGGGAGTCTGACCTGTCACTGAGTGGTGGCAAACATGGCCCACACACAGAGCTCCGAGCATCGACAAATCTATACGTGTGTATGTGTTTCCCACACACAGCGCCACATACCTCACCAGACGAGGCAGGTCACAACATGTTAGAGTGTCGAGGATTCATAATGGCCATTTAGCCTTCAACAGCTAATATCAGCACTGCTGATTTACAAGGAATTGGGTTGTCCTGTTCCTGTACTCAGGAGCTGCTTAAGGCAAACCTGTTTGAAATTAGATTGAAGTTCCACACTAAGAAACACATATAGACA